TATCGGGAAGAACTGTTCCAAGACGTCACGTCTTTATGAAACGAAAGCGATACAGCAATTAGGAACTATTTCGATAGGAATAAGAGTAACTTGTGCGACAAAATTGGAAGTGTTAAAGAAGATTCTTGGGTTGGGTAAATTTTGGATAAAACGTAATGAGTTACGCCATTTTCATCCTGCTTTCGGCTTATATTTCCAGCTGAAACGCACCCATATTTTATAAAGTTCATAAACATTTTAAAAAGCTGTTCCAAAACTTTGTAAAAAGATAATCAAACAACGCATCTGTGAACATTAAAAATATATTATTATTTGTTATTCGAATATGATAATGGTGAAACTATAAATAATAATAATAACAATAATGATAATGGTTTAATTTCTCAATGGAATATGATATTGCACGTTAATTGAGAAATCATAAAGAATTGAGAAAATAAAAAATATGTATAATTTTACTTGAATGACTTGCAATATTTGCTTTGTTAATTTTCAAAACTTCAAAGAGTCAAAATCGTCCGGGCATCTTTAAGAAGATAGAAAAGCGACATAAATGTGTTATTGCAAGGCGAATTAATATAAGGTGATAGCAGGAGTACAAAAACAAAAATTTACATGTATTTTGTTTTTGCTTTGGCGGCATAAACTGTCAAAATCTGTAAGAGTTTGTGTAGAAATTCAAACAAAATTTTTTAATTTGATATCAGAAGCCGTGCGGCGAAACACACACACAAAATCAGCTGAGCTAGTAACACCACCTTATATAAATTCGCCTTGTGTTATTGATTTTGTGAAACGAGTTAGTTATGAAACATATAAATCTTTACATGTTCTGTTAAAAAATATCTAAAATAACAAGCGATAATCCCCAAGTTCTATATCGTAGCAGTGGCCACATTGCGTGTTTGTCACAGACACGGTTTATGTCAAAAATTTTGAAGTGAAACTACCTTCTAAAAATTATTGTATCGTGCGAGTAACTATGCTATGATAACTTCTAATAGTGACGAAGAAATGACATCGTAGCGATAGGCGATAAAATTATCTTCCATTTGCTGGCAGGGGTCAAACTACATAACATATATGTATATACCTAAAATATCTACAGCGCATGTACAAATTTGAGATCGATTTTAAGCAATCGATATCCATATACCCACAAACATACATATGTTACTAACATAATTCAAGCGTTTTTATTTTTAATCCATAATTCGTTTATATTGACTTTTGCTAAAATTTTAAAATCAAAAGTTATCAAAACAAATTCTATGGGACTACGAAAAATTATTTAATACTTTTTAGTCTATTTACAGAAACGTGGTATACTAAAAAGTTTATTTTATTTTATTTTTATCCTATTTTGATGGTACTATTAAGGGAATTTGTTATGATACGGTATTCGCAGAGGTTAAAAAATAAGTATTTTTTTTAATTTACTCCTATACTCGTACATACATATTGCACGTTTACTAATATAAAGATGTAATTCATCATGTAATTTATAATGATTGATAAGGAGAATAGCCCAAAAAATACGATTACCACAGAAGTTAAGATGGAAGCAAATTAGGCGATGGGAATCGCTTACCCTTTCGCTTCAAGAAGACTTTATTTTAACATGGGCATATCATTGGCCGTAAGCCCTTACCCGCAGCATTACCTTGGATTGAAGGGAGAACGAATGGATAAACAGAATCCAGAGAAGCGAACAAAGAATGCCTTACAAAGAAACTAATCTAGAAATCCTAGATAAGTACATAGAGATTGTCTTAAAAGATTATGATTAATTAAATTTTTTATAAATAATTTTTTATGCATACATATATATGTTTGTATTTAGGTATTTAGATCTTACTTAAAAATCGGTATGTACATACATACATAATTAATTAAACTTAAAATTGTACTTCCTCACTCATGTACTTCACTTCATTGACTGACTTCAACTTCGCTGTAAATTAAACAAAGCAAACCATGATTTTTATGCGATGGAATTTTCAACAGAAAGTTACGATAGAAAAGAATTTTTGGGTATTCATTCTATTTTTCAGCTAACTACGGTGAAGCATTATACTTTACATTCCCCGTAGTGAATCAAAGCAGCGAAATTAATAAATTGTTGTAGAACATTCTGCTATGCATTACCGGCAATGCTAACAGCAGCGAAAAAATTAGAAGACATTCTAATAGCTTAAACAGACGGCAGCGTTGATCCGGATCAACTCGGACTTAATCGCGATCAACTGCAGTTAATTCCCGAGTTGATCCGGATCAACGCTGCCGTCTGTGTATGCTTTAAGGCAATGCGTTCTAGAACAGATTACCGCTGAAAGCGATTACCGATTTTTCGCTGGGTATGCTCAGCCTAACAGATGACTAAACTTCCAAAAAATGTCGAATGTACGTACATATTTATGTCGCTTTCCATCTGTCTTTTGGTATACTAATTGAACAATTTTCAAACTTTGATTGCCTTTTCTAACAAAATTGAAATTTTGAAATAATTCTGTATATTATTTAACGTGCGAAGATATTAATAGTCGAACATTTTACATAAAAAAAATGGTAGAAGTTGGTAGATTTTGTTAAAAGAAACAATAATTTAAACTTTTTTCTGATATATTAAGTAGGATAAATCAAGGCGAATTCATATAAGGTGTTGTTACCAGAGCAGCTGGATTTTCGCCTCGATGGTTCCTTATGTCAAAATCAGGGACCGTAAAAAGCAGTTATTTTTTTCCAACAGTTAAACTTGACCAGATATTTTTTAAGTTCGAAATAAAAGTCTTTCCGAATAGTAAACAAATTTGGTACCAAATAAAAGACGACTTAAATAGCTTTTAAACACAAATAACGATCGAAAGCTACCACTTCTATTTATATATTTATTTTTTTATAATTTAATACAAAAGAAATGCATATACCTGACCCAAGGTTTATTCTATGGCAATTAAAAAACATTTTTTATTTAAATATTTTTCAATAGCTGGCTTTCTGCAGGCTTTCCTCGTTTAAATATTTCAGTTTTAAAGCTATTTTAGTTATCTTTTAGTTGATACCAAACTTGTTTTATTTGGATAAGTGGTTTGTTTATTATTAGGAAAGGACTTTTTTCGACTTAAAAATATCTGGCCAAGTTTAGCTGTTGAAAAAAAGTAACTGTTATTTACGGTCCCTGGCCAAAATTATGTATGTATTTGTTATAATTCTTGCTGTCATTACGCGTAAAATTTGTTAGTGTAATTTTTGTTTTTGTACTCCTACTGAATAAAAACTATCTAACATTGACTCTTTCAAAAAAATCTAGCATGTGTTGTAATATTTTTTTTTATAAAACAACAAAAAATATATTTGGCGCCCGGCATACTTGGAGGAGTGAAACCCGATTCGAAACGAATGAAATAAAATGACAGCTCTTTTCTTTCAAATACTTTTTAAATTGATAAAGCGAACTCGCTATCAAATGCCGTGATCTCAAAAATATTTGCGATTAGAATTTGATTCCATCACGGATACCGTGTTTCGGGCCCTGTTTTAATTTAAAAAGGGGTTCAAACCATTACGCTCCACTTCAAAATTTTTTGATTAAACATGGATTTTAAATGAAATTTATAGATCATTCGTTTGGTAGTCTCCCATAAAAAAACTTATTGCAAACGAAAAATATTTCCATAACTAGCTGATAAAGATCGAATTTTACTTTTAAGTAAGGTATAATCAGAGTCAGTGTTGCCGCGAATCGTTTTTAGTGGTAGCCAAATTCCTTAAAAAAAAGGGCTAAAAAGAGCTAAAAAAATATCGTTGTGGCTAAAAATAGTAGCTAAAATTGTTTACTTACATATACATATATAAGTATATACGCAAGTATTTTCAATAAGTAATGGTATAGAAAAACAATGAACCCTGGAAAAAACTAATATTTTATCCAACCAAAAACATTTTTATGTAAAAGGGGAAACACACAACACAACTTCGCTGGAACCATCAAGTGATTGTAACATAAGGCTCGAAGCATATAATATACTGGTCGAATATTTATTTCTTTACAAATGAGGTTCAGAAACGATCGAAATTGTTTGAGCCGAAATTTTATAATTCTACATTTTTGTTAAACATTGGTTTTTTTAATTCAAAACTGTAATATTGTAATCTTTAGTTTTCCACAAACATGGCTTTGACTCATATAGTGCAAGAAATTTCCAACAAAATCCTTTTTCTTAAAAAAGCATATTAAGGGCTATAAAATTATTTATTTTAAATATAGTTAAATTGTTAATAGATAAGTTAACGTCCATAACACTTTTATAGTTTGAATAAAAACATATGTATGTATATATATCAGTTTTTTTGGTTTGAAAATTCGTCTCTTATGCCGAGTTTCCACTATGCATTGAAATGACAAAAAATGCATGCTATTTAAAAAAAATTCCATGTGGAAATGAACTTAATTACTATTTTTTTTATGTAATGACACGATTATTTTTTAATGCCCGACTTTGTCATTTTTGGCATTTAATGCCTAGTGGGAATCCAGCATTACATAAAAGAAAAGAATTAGATAATGTCGAGGATGAATACATTTTCCAAAGGGCTAAAAAAGGGCTAGTAGCAATTTTAAATTTATGTGGCCAAAAAAAGTATGTGGTAGCTAAATCTAGCCACCAAAGGGCTAAAACGTCAACACTGGTCTGAGTTAACTTTTCATTTTTATTTTAGGTGTGTTCGATGGCAAAATATGTTTACACTGCTTTCATTTCAATCCCTTTGCTTTCTTTCCAGAAAATATTAGTAGATCTTTAGCTTTTGTTGGTAAAAATGGTAGAAAATAAATTACACTAAAAAGTTGGTAGATGTACCAACACAGTGGTTAAAGCCGAGCGCTGGTTCAATATGAGCATATGTAGTTAGTTATGTGAGAAAAGTTTCGCACTGCTATTGCTCATACTGACTACAGTTGTATGTACTCTTTGTATGTAACTACATATTGAAATGCTTACAGCTGACGGATTGTTGCAGAAATAGGAATATTCCAAGCAATAATGACCGGCACATGGTGAACGACGGATAAGCACGCCTTATCCCCTGCCGGAAGTAAGTGATTTTATTATCACAAAATTATTTCGTTACTTTAATTTAAAATTAAACTATATGTTATTCAAGTGGATCGTATTGTTTTTTTCTGATAATATTGTTTAACTTGTTGATTGCAGTTTCACAAATAAACGAACGATTATGTACATATGTATTTATGTACTTGTACATATGCAAGTACATATATTTGTGTGCACTATGTACGATAACTTAATGTGTTGATGCTCCAAAAGTGCTGTTATCGAATTTTTTATTTTTTTTTTTGATTCTTTTTAAGAAACCACGATTTAGCGAACAAAGGTGGCGCATCCCGCAAACCGCTACTTTGGTTTGGCCGATTTTGACAATTCTCATGTAAAAGTGAACAACGCCTCAGAAACTTTAAAAGCACTGAAATTTACTAATCTTCTTCTTTTTCTTTATTTGCGCTGTAGCCGCTAATACTTTCACAAAAATCACATTTTTTAACAAGTTCTTTATTAATTCTCTTTATAAATCATATATTTTTACAATTTAACACAATTAAACCACGCCTCCTATCGAAAAATTTAATATTAAAAAAATTTACTAATCTAACAGTTTATTTTTTCCTCCTTAACGTCTTTGTTTACTATTACTTGAGAAATGTCATCGCCGTCGGGAATGCGCAATCTTGTATTATATCATTATTGTTAAGAAACTATGAAAATTTTACAGAAGCCGAATTGAGTTGTGCACGCGCCAGTGTTATTCGTTAAACTAAGCAAATACAATATCATCAAACAGCTACAAAGTCGCCTTCCTCGGATTAATTGCGATTAAAGCCGAAAAACGCAGCGTTCCTCAAACTGTGGTCTGCTTATGCGATGCTGCAAATGTGGTTGATTTTAAAGTACTATTATTTACTTCCAGAATTCAACCGACAAATTTTACCCCTTGATAAATAACCATCCCGGATTTTTAGAGCAAGTTTTTGTCAGCGCTGAATATGATCTGACATAAATGACATGGCCACTAATTGGAGCTAGCTGCATATAGCATTCCTGTAGTTATTCCTTCTAAAAGTATGTTCACATATCAATATTATCTCAATCTAAGCTCGTTTTTTAATCACCCCGTTTACATAGGCAAATCTCAGATTATTAGCTGTCAAATTTGTTGTGGTTGATATTCTCACATCTCAAGGAAAAGTTATGTTTCTTCTCTGAGCCACCGTGATCACGTTTTTCTGCTATAATAAGCAATATACATATATTTTAACTTAACATTTTATTAAAAATACCTTTACAAACCTCTTTTCCCTGCTAGCGCCCATTTTTGTTTACTTTTACATTTGGCATTTCTCCTCTTTTTCGCAAAAACAATCGATAAAACTAGGATGGACACCGAAAAGTTATCGGTTAAATCTGAGATTATTTAATAATTACAGATTAACAAGGTTAGGTGTTAAGCTCGAAAATGAGGATAATCTAGTTATATGTGAACCTAGTACAATACCTATAAAGTCTGGATAATGTTTTAAGAGGCCAACGATTTTCTGATATGATCCATTATCAATAATCTGATTTAGTCTTTCTAGATTCGCGACTCTTCGGCATGTACCCTGAGTTATAATTCTTTTAAAATGAATAGTTTCTACGTACTCCTTTTCAGTTTTCGATTAACACTCGTCCCAAGCGGAGTTGTTTCTCTTGTGTTCATTTGAAGGGGTTAGAATCAAAAGGATCTAAGTAGTTCTGAAATTTTTATGAGATAATTAAGGTTAAAGTTGATTACTTATTGTAAATTCTGGGTAAATGGATTCTTGCCTAAATTAATGCAGGTTGAAATGAATATTACTCTTTGTCACCACATAAACACTATATTTAACTATACAAATATGGGTATGACTTATATTGTCAAAAAATGTTACTTAAATCATAAAGAGACGGTAGCGTTCATCCGGATGAACTCTGGAATTAACTGCAGTTGATCCGTATTAAGTCCGAGTTAATCCGGATCAACGCTGCCGTCTGTTAAAGGTTTTAGACCCTTATGATTCTAACCCCTTCATTTGGGCATTTTCGCAATTACTAACAGTGATGGTAAATTTTTTTATTTTTTTTGTTAGAAAATCCCCGCCCAACAACAAAAATCCCCCACTTTTCTTTACGCCTTTAAAAATTTTTCCCCACAAAATTCCCTAAAAATTTTATCTAATAATTCCTTATAAAATTAGAGGAAGACCGAAAAAAACTTTGACTATATAAAACACAGAAGGCTCAATGTATAGACAATTTATTATAATAACAAGTATAATACATAAACATATAATATATGCACTATTGCGTTGTACGTTTACATACATATCCAAGCTAGTTGTACAAAATTCATTAAAGGATTTCCTAGAAAAGGGTGTCTTACTAACATAAAGGACAAACTAATACCCGCGGGTTTCACCCCACGTTTTAATTCAAATATGAAAAATAATTTAAAAATGTTATATTTTATTGCCCATTTTTTTATAGCTGTATATTTATAAGCGAGCTAAGGTATTTAGGCCGATTAGAAATATGAAATTATAAAATCTCGTCTGCAAGCTATGCATACCAAAGATGTCAGCTTCTCCAAGTTTACCTTAAAATGGTTGCAAGATACACCGCGTGATCGTGTAACCTTCTGGCAGGTGCCACGTTGGGTTCTTAATATTTCCAACTCAAGTTCAGGTTGATAAAATACGACTTCTCAGTACTGTAGCTAAATGCCTCCAGAAATATGCATCATGCGATTTTTAGATTACATATGGCAGATTCCGGCTCTCCCTTTTCCATTAACAGAAATTTTGTCTGTCAATATGGTACTGATAAAATAATGGTGCATTTACATGGTATGAAGCCATATGAAAAAAAAAAAAATACTTCGAGAGATTTTCTATCCTTCCAGAGATATGTATTAAGAAGTTTTTAGTATGTATGGGAGGCGACATGCCTCCTTTTCCAATAACTCACATTTTCTCCATGAGCAATGGATAAATTTTATATACATAAATCCATACCAAGTTCCAGTATTCTTCCTGAAACACTTCCAGGGATATATGGTAAAAAATCGTCAATTCGTACGGGAAGTGCCATGCCCCCTTTTCTTATAACCCTAATTACCTTCCATGAGTATGGAATTGATTTTATATATCCCGATACCAAGTCCCAGTACTCTACCATAAACACTCCTAGAGCTATGCAGTTTAAAATAGAGTCCGACCGATTAATCGGCATCGGCATCGGCATCGGCTAGTATCGGCACAAAATTGAGCATCGGCATCGGCATCGGCCTTTTTTCGCCGATTCTTTGCCGATTCTTTGGAATTTCTTTTCAAATGTTCAGATGAAGCGACAGCCAACATTAAAAAGCATTTGCAGACAGCTCACAAAAATGATTTTTTTTTTGTTGAAGGTGTTTCACGTTTTTTCCGTACAAAAGTATGTGCGACAATTTTCTTTTATATGGAGATCACTGCCAACAAAAAAAATTGCCAAAAATTAACGGGATTTTATAGCAGCTTAAAACTTGCACTTCAACTACCCAAATTCTGATTAAAAAGTTTGAAATTTTGGTGAAAATAAGCAGAATTTTTCTAATTTTTGTACAAAGTTTGAAATCTTAATTTATATGGTGTTTGTTGTATACCAGCTAGACTTTTATAAAAAAAATAATAAACATTAAATAAAAAAGACAAAATCGGTCAAAATATCGAAATTCTTTTATTTTGTGGACCACTATATGTATGTACAATGTACATTGTACATACATACATACATAGCATGTGTATGTATGTACATACATGTGTATGTAATGTTGCATAACAAGCCAATTAATTCAATTATTTCTTATCTTTTGTGGTTTTTTAACTCCGTGAAATGAACTGATTTTATGAATTAATACATTTATTTGTAATTTTTTATGGAATCGGCATCGGCATCGGCATCGGCCGATTCTTTCCCCATAAGCCGATTAATCGGCATCGGTACCTGAAAAAAAAATTGGAATCGACCGGACTCTAGTTTAAAATAGTAAATTTGTTCGGGAGGAACCACGCTCCAAATATTTTTCCATGGGCATGGAATTAATTTTGTATGCACATCATGGCGCCCAATTCCAGTCCTCTGCAATACACACCTCTAGAGACATTCTGCATAAAAAAAAAAACAAATTTGCATGGTAGTTGCCACGCCAAATGGTCCAATAACTCCTACTTTTCTCCATGAGTATGGGATTGATTTCATGTACATAGATATCCCCAGACCAAGCTCGGGTACTCTACCCCAAATATTTGAAGGGATACGAAATATGAAAGTTTCAGTTAGTATGGGAGGTTTCACGCCTTTTTTTCTCAGTGAGTATGAATTTTATTTCACATGGATATCTCCATACCAAGTTCCAGGACTCTCTCACAAATACTTCCAGAGATATGTATACATTATGGAAATTCCAATTTATATGGGAGTGGCCACGCCCTCTTGATTTATCGAAATTATTTGCAGTCTAAGACCATCCTTGGGAAGTCCGTAGGAAGTGCGCCTATTCTTCAATCCAGGTCACAAAGACATATGTTCAACATTTAATCTTTAAAAATATCTCCGAAATTAAGCTCTCTTAAACTTTTTTCGTTTGACAACTGTACTGTAATATTTGATTGCACTTGTTAATTTAATTAAACTTTTTAACAGGTGGAAACTCCTAAAAAGGTAGCTCATTTTTCAACCTAGATCATAAACTATCTGTGCGTAAAATTGATTGATTGATCGATTTGATTATTAATTTAATTTAACTTTTTTAACAGGTGGCAACTCTTAAAGATGTAGCCTAATTTGCAACCTAGGTCATAAACTGTCTATGTGCATATTTCCATGCAAATCCGTTCAGTCGTTTCCGCGTGATTATTAATTTGATTAAACTTTTTTAAAAGGTGGCAACTCTTAAAGGGTAGCCTATTTTGCAATCTTGGTCATAAACTATCTGTGCGCAAAATTTCTTGCAAATCCGCAACTCTTAAAGACAGTAGCCTATTTTTTAATATAGGTCATAAACTATCTGAAACTCATGGAACTCCAACATCTAAGCATACAGGCTTTCACATAATATTAGTAAGATAGCGTTCCTTAAACTGTGTTCCGCTTATGCGATGCCTGCAAATCTGGTTGAATTTAAAGTACTATTATTTAATTCCAGAATTCAACTGACAAATTTTACCCCTTGATAAATGAGAGTCCAGGATTTTTAGAGCAAGTTTTTGTCTGCCCTGAATATGATCTTATATGCGTTCTGACATAAATGACATGACCACCAACTGGAGCTAGCTGCACATAAAATTCCCCTAGTTATTCCTTCTGCTACCCATAAAGTCTGGATAATTTTTTAAGAGGCCAACGATTTTCTGATGGGATTCATTAATATTTATCAATAATCTGATTTAGTCTTTCTAGACTCGCGACCTGCGGCATGTACACTCAGTTATAATTATTTCAAAGTGAATAGTTTCTACGTAATCCTTTCAGTCTTCGATTAACAGTCGTCCCGAGCGGAGTTGTTTCTCTTGTGTTCATTTGTGCCTTTTCGCAATTACTAACAGTGATGGTACATTTTTTTTTTAGAAAATCCCCACTCAACAACAAAAAATCCCAACTTTTCTCTACGCTTTTGAAAATGTTTCCCTACAAAATTCCCTACAATCTTTATCTAATAATTCCATTTAAAATTAAAAGAAGACCGAAAAGAGTTTGACTATACAAAACACGAAAGATTCAATATATAGAAAATTTATTATAATAACAAATATAATACATAAACATATAATATACTTATACACTATTGCGTTGTACGTTTACATACATATCGATGCACAGTGTGTGGTGTGGAACAAGCTAGTTGGACAAAATTCATTAAAGGATTTCCTAGAAAAGGGTGTCTTACTAAGCTAATACACGCATTTTTCACCCCATGTTTTTATACAAATATGAAAAATAATTTAAAAATGTTATATTTTATTGCCCATTTTGTTATAGCTGTATATTTATAAGCGAGTTAAGGTATTTAGACCGTTTAAAACTACGAAATTATAAAATCTCGTCTGCAAGGCATACCAAAGACATCTGTTGCGGAGATTTACAAGCAAAGTTGACGCGGTTTATGCGATTAACCAATTCATTTAATTAACTTTTAATGGATTTACAGAAAAATAATAACGGGGCGAACGAGTATGCGAGCAGTAGCAAAACATATAGCGAAAGCAAAGAAAACGAAGGGGTGAATTAGCAAAATGTCAAAAGAACGTTTGCTATTAACTCCTGTGTGGTGTCAAAGCATTAACCCTTGCGAACACATGAACCTTAACTCTTATGTATGTTTTACATGTTTACATTAAATCTTTGGAGTTAGCATATTCGAGCTCAACATACCGCCGCCCTTGAACTGTTATATTAAAATGTTCAAAACAAGATACAAAAAGAAATTAAATACTAGAAATAATCTGTAAGTGGCAAAATCAAAAAAATAGTTGATAGTTAAACTATGAGCTTGTCCCTTCGGAAAATACATCATCTTTCGTAGGTAGAAGGCACAGCTTGGCTATTGGATATTAGACGAACAAATTCTCCATTCGACGTTCTCACTGTCACGACTCGCATGCGACCATCAGTTCCAGGGTGGCACCGCGCTGCGCAAGCGTCCACTTAGTCGGAGGTGTAGGCTCGTTGAAGATAGCTACAACATCCCCTTCTTCGAGATTACGTGAGGGTCGAAACCACTTAGTGCGCCGCTGCAGGCTGACGAGATACTCGTCTCTCCAACGACGCCAGAAGTGCTGTCGTATTGCAGTGATTAATTGCCATCGCTGGTGGAGATTTCCGCAGAACCGTTGACCCTCAGGTTCTGGGATCGACTTTAGAGGTTCGCCGACGATAAAGTGCCCTGGCGTTAGAGCTTCGTGGTCGACTGTAGTTGTCGTGCCCTCATATAACGGGCGGGAGTTCACGCAGGCTTCCACTTCTGTTAGTAACGTATTAAATTCTTCGTACGACACCAGACTTTCGCCTAAAACGCGCTTTAGGTGGTACTTGATGCGTTTGATACCGGTTCCCCAGTATCCACCCATATGAGGCGCGGTCGGCGGATTGAAACGCCACTCTATGTTGGAATCGGCGAAAAATGATTGAAGAGTGGCGTCTGCCATGCACTTTTCATATCTGCTACGAAGTTCCTTCTCAGCGGCGACGAAATTCGTACCATTATCGGAGAACATTGTCTTACAATACCCTCTACGGTTGATGAAACGCTTGAACGCGTTGAGAAAAGAAGACGCCGATAAGTCTCCCACGAGTTCTAGGTGCATTGCGCCAGTACCAATGCAAATAAACGAGCAAATGTAGCCTTTCGTAGATTTTGCCCCTCTTCCATGCGTGAACTTATACATATACGGCCGGCGAAGTCTACGGCGGTGCGTGTAAAGCAGCGGACATAGGTTGTTCGAGACGCAGGTAGGTCACCCATAGATTGCGTTGCAAGGTTGCGGTTAAGACAAGTGCATTTAACGCACTTACGATAAGTGTTGCGGATCAAGCTGCGGGCACCAACCACCCAGTAACGGCGTTGTAAAACCACCTGCATTATGCGTGGTCCGGCATGTAGAGTGAAGTGATGAATGTGGAGGATTATTAACTTCTATAGCGGAGAACCTTTAGGCAAGATGACTGGATGTCTTACATCGTGCGCCACATCTGCTGACCTCAGTCGACCTCCAACTCGAAGAATACCATTCGGATCAAGAAACGGCTGTAAGCGCAACAGGCTACTGCGGAGCGGGATCGGCCTTTTTGCGCTGCAATGAGAAATTTCGTTAGCAAAGAAAAAATGTTGGGTATACCTAATTAAACGGCGCTCAGCTTCGGCTATCTCTACACAGCTAGGAGGGCCATATCGTTTATTGCCGGAACGTTGAGCTCCAGAGCGGGTGTTGCAAATAAACTATAGAAAATAAGCGACGATTCGTCGTAATTTTGCGTACGAAGAATATTTTGTCATTATCGACCAATGACTATCCGAGTTTGCAACGTGAGTGTGAACCTTCTTCCGTAGCCCCAACTCAGTTGTGGGCGGGTTAGAAGAGGCTTGCTTCCAAAACTGGTTTGAAGTGCTCAGAAAGTCTAGACCAGTCCACCATTGCTCATGGTGCAAAAGTTCGAGCGGCGTTATGCCTCTAGAGGCGCAATACGCGGGATTTCTTTCAGAGCGTACGTGATTCCAACAATCAGGAGGTAGAATTTCGTGAATATCAGCAACGCGATTGGCAATGAACATCTCCCATCTACTGGGATGTGCTTGCAACCATGCCAACGTGATTGTAGAGTCCGTCCAAGGGTAACGGAGATCGCTCCAACTATGTTGTACACTTTTCACCAACTTGGCAGCGAGATGGGCCGCGCACAGTTCCAGGCAAGGTAAAGAAGTAGGTTTTATTGGCGCCACTTTGGTCTTGGACGAAACTACTGCAACTGTGACGTGGCCATTGCTGGGAACAGTACCGGTGTACATAACTGCGATTCACCTTCAAGTTCGCCAATTGCTGCAGCTGTGAACGACGATCAACCCACCGCCTTGCGATTGTGCCTGGTATCAGCTCGTCCCATCCAACCTCGGCACGCTAAATGTCCTGAAACCACATCTTGGACCTTATTGTCACAGGTGCAAGCAAACCCAGTGGATCGAAAATAGTACTGGCGTCAGATAAAAAGGCTCTCTTAGTTAGAATAGCAGGTGGCCGATTCAGGTCCACTGTGAATGTGAAATAGTCGCCTTCTATGTTCCAAATGAGGCCAAGCGCGTTAACGTCCTTACCGTTGACCATGTAATGCGGTATACTTTGAGATGCGTTGGATATACTCTCATTTAGCTCTGCACAGTTAGATGCCCACTTCCGCAGTTCAAAGCCGCCTTCTTTGAGAATGCCAGAGACAGCTTGTTGAAGTGACTTAAGTTCTGTTTTGCCAGAAGCCCCAGTTAATAAATCGTCCATATCGAAGTCCTTTAGTATCACAGCCACGGCTTCCTTTCAACTATTAGACGCGCACTTAGCAGTTTTTTGCATCGACTTGACTGCCAAGTGAGACGCGGCGGCCACCCCATACGTTACGCGCAGCATCCGGTAATCCTTAATTGGTGAATACGGATCGGGACGCCAAACGATTCGCTGCAAGTCGACGTGCTTTGGTGAAACGCAGACTTTTCGGTACATCTTCGCGACGTCTGCGGTTACCGCGTACCGATGCGTCCTGAAGCGCAGCAATATGGAGTATAGATCTTATTGCAGTTGAGGCCCGACAAACAGTGCGTCATTTAGCGAATTTCCTGTGGTAGTTTTGGTGGACGCGTTGAAAACAACCCGCAGCTTGGTCGTTACACTGGACTCCTTTATTACTGGGTGACGCGGCATATAATACCATTCGGTCGTCGTTTCAGATACCATCTCCATGTGACCCATTTCAATAAGTTCTTGCATGAACTCATTGTAACATAAGCGCAAATCGTAGTTACCTGCGCGCCTTCGTTCGATGCGTAACAGGTTGCTAACCGCGAAGTTGCGTGACTCGCCCAACGATACGTTAGGTTTTAGCGGTAACTCAACGACCGTCAGGCGTTCTCTTGTGCGTGGAATCGAAGTGCCTTTCACAGAAGCTTTCTTCGAGCGTTAGATGCATTTTTGGCGGCAACTCTTCCAGCTCCCACAATTTAGCGAGCGCTCGATCCAGATGAACGTCGCAATGCAGTGACGGTAAACGCAGCGCGGGTGAAGCACAACTGTCGACACTTCCGAACAAAGTCCACCCATAAACTGTTCTCTGAGCCATAGGAGCGCCAGTAGGACCTTTGCGAAGCTCGGTGCAGATGAATCGGTCCATAACATCCATGCCAACCAGAATGTCTATGCGGCTAGGCTTCGCGAATTGCGGGTCAGCTAGGAACAATCCTTGAATATGCGGCCAATTCGAGACATTTAAAGTCTGTGTTGGCAAATCGTTTGTGATTTTGGGAAGAATCAATGCACTAAATGCGTAGCATTCATCTGAGCAGAAAGACGAAAGCGAGAGCAGCGTCTCGCCTCTACAGCGACCTCCTTGCGATGACCAAATTCCGGTGACGAATACAGAAGAGGCTGTGCGTGGAAGATCCAAGCGCTGTACACATGCCTCCGTTACGAATGAGGCGTGCGACCCGGAATCAAACAATAAACGTGCCGTCTGCCAATGATCCGAACGATCACGAACCTTTACTAGTGCGGTAGCTAATATCACGGTTTTTTGCGTTGCAGGGGGCAGACTAGAACCAGAACTTAAGCCAGATGAAACGTGAGTAGCAGCGCTATCCGCTTGCAAAGAGATGGCAGATGAGTCGGCTGCATGATTGCTGGCAGATGCGGTATTTGGAGCGGTGCCGTTAGCCTCGACGACATGAGCGGATGTGGTAGCGGGTGAGCTCGCAGTATTATGAAGCAGCGTATGATGACGTTGGTGACATACTCTGCATGCCGACGTGCTGTTACAACGCTCCTTGTAATGCCCTGGACTCAGACAATTCAAACATGCTTTCGATTCCTTTATGAACTTAGACTTAGCGGTTGAGTCTAAACTGCGAAATTTGTCACAAGCATAAATCTTGTGAACTGCATTACAGTACATGCAGCGCGTGAGGTTCTGCTCCGGAACAGCGTGAAACACTTTGGTTGATTTGCCAGCTGATTTCTGTGTAGTCGACTTGATAATGGAGGTCTGAGCTGAAGGCGTGGTAAGCACTGCTAATGAGCGACATCTTATCTCCAAAAACGACGTCAGCTGTTCAAATGTCCGAGGCTCATCACTAACAAGTGAAAGCTCCCACTACTTTCGGGTCTCGAACGCAAGTTTGTTGACAATTTCATGCACCAGCCAATTGTCCCATAATTCGACGGGCGCCCTAATGCTTTGAGCTCTCGAATGTGTTGCTGAAATGCATCGATAGCGCTCTTTATAGCAACAGCAGTGTCACTCGTAGCCTTGCGAATATCAGCTATCGCCCTAAGATGTGCTTCAAGGATTACTCGCATGACCTTGTAGCGGGACTTCAGCAGGTTACATGCCTCTGCATAGTTCGCCTCGCATATCTTGAAGCCGCTTATAATACTTAACGTGTCCCCTTTTAGGCAGCTGCACAAATAATGTAATTTTTGCACGTCTGATAGAGCAGCGTTGGTGTCAACCAGCGAACAAAAAGCATCGTAAAAAGTTATCCACTCTGTGGAATCGCCAGCAAATGTGGGTAAATCCATTTTCGGCAAACGTATTGATGCAGACACAGTCGTTGATGGGGGTGCGGATACCAAGTCTCGCCTTGCACGCGAGCATTTTCCTCCCCTTCAGCATTTTCAATCCCACAAGATGTTTCGACTGCATCTTGGGCAGTGTTGAAATGGACCCATTGCTCATTGAGGAGCTTCTAATACAACTACTGCACACCAAAGTTCTATTTAATTTCAGCAAAAATGCCTGATTTATAATAAGTTTTGTAGCGGGGAACACACTGTGTTTATTTATTGCAAATCTATACTTGCACTTTTACGAGCGGGTTGTTTAAATCCGGACCGAAGGTCCAGCAAATGTTGCGGAGATTTACAAGCAAAGTTGACGCGAGGTTTCCGATAAAATATGCAGCGGGGTTTCCAAATGAAAGACGCGGTTTATGCGATTAACCAATTCATTTAATTAACTTTTAATGGATTTACAGAAAAATATAAGCGGGGCGAACGAGTATGCGAGCAGTAGCAAAATATATAGCGAAAGCAAAGAAAACGAAGGGGTGAATAGCAAAATGTCAAAAGAACGTTTGCTATTAACTCCTGTGTGGTGTCAAAGCATTAACCCTTGCGAACGCATGAACCTTAACTCTTATGTATGTTTTACATGTTTACATAAAATCTTTGGAGTTAGCATATTCGAGCTCAACAACATAAATTTCTCCAAGTTTACCTTAAAATGGTTGCAAGATACACCGCGTGATCGTGTAACCTTCTGGCAGGTGCCACGTTGGGTTCTTAATATTTCCAACTCAAGTTCAGGTTGATAAAATACCACTTCTCAGTGCTGCAGCTAAATGCCTCCAGAACTATGCATCATGCGCTTTTTAGATTACACATGGCAGATTCCGGCTCTCCCTTTTCCATTAACAGAAATTTTGTCTGTCAGTTCGGTACTGATAAAATAAATCTCCATAACA